AAGCTTCTGTAAGTAGTTGAGTATTGAACTCAGCGTCCATAAAAACCCTATTACACAAGTTTTCACATTTTTTTGAAAAATTTTGAGACCGCAGCTTTTTCCACATTGACACCATATGTTCCAAGTTTCTACCGTAATCCTACAGTAACGAAGAGCGGTCAGTATTTCGCCCATACTGTCGATCTAAGCTGAAACCAGCTCTACGAAACGGTGCCCAAAGCAAGGCAAAAGACTTGTTGGGAAGAAAGATATTAACGATCAAACAGTGTATACGTACTTTACGGGACCCTGTATTTTATGTGCTTATTACATTCACATTCCTTGTGTAACATATCATCAACATTACTGATATTGATATACTTAAGGAATCCATTGTAATTACACAAGTAAAACCCTACGGGTTCTTTCAGCTTATATCTAATTGCAACCCTTAATCTTTGTAGTTCTTCTTTCCTTTCCGGTATGGCTGTACTTACAGCTTCCTTTATCTCTCAACCATTGCAAACACTATTTAGTTTCAGTCTGTCCATAATGCTTCTTAAATATGGTACGGTTATATACAGATATCTATGGTTCTCAGTTTTGCAAGGTTTTCGATTCCAAAATGGTCTTGCGACAAGTGCATAGTCTTTGAGCTTCAATTCGTAATCGTAATTGTTGAATTGGTCATCGAAACTTACAGCAATTGTTCTATTTATATCATGTTCGTTCAATGTACGAAAGTATTTATACAATTCATATGTTTGCAATTCACTTATCATCTGTTCTGTTAGGGCATAATACTTTTCTCTTTGCTTTTCTGTTCTTTCCTCTGCATCTCTTTACTTGTAAAAGATATTGAAAGTAGGGGTGTTCTTTCTTTTCCAAAGGATTGATGAAAAGATGTTACCATGTCCTTTTATTTGATCGTTAAAAATGAACGGATATGCTGTGATCATGTATTTTATCCACTGCTCTTTGTCTCTCAACTCTTTCTTGCTATCTTCTTCATTACGTACATGGTCCAATATATCTATGGATAGTTCCAATGTACTATGTCTAGTGGATGTAAAGTGCTTAACCATATATGTTTTCAATGTTAGTTTACGTATACTTTTACTATGTTGGTTTATACGTTGCCTTAGGGTTTGTTTGGTCTCCCTATATACCGTTGTCCGCAAGTCAGACATGTTATCATAAACACGACGTTTTTCGAGTCGCAGTTAGATGTATGTGGTTTGTTAGTTTTGAAATAAAAATTAGTAGTAGAACTTCTTGCCTTATTCTGAAAATTTATCTTATAGCATAAAGAGCATTTCTTTCTACCGCATCTCCTTCCTGTGTTATTAGTGTACTCTGGTATTTCATTGTCTTATTTCGTTTGCTTATTTTGGTGTTTGGGGACAAGGACAACATTAAACACCAATTCTCATTAGAATTGTCATTATTGGCGGACCTCATTCCATTGAGTCAGAGGCGGTCCTTCCTGGACTCTTATGCGGTTTCCCTATCAGAGGGTATTTCCTCCTTGGCTGGGGTAAGCCTCTTCATCGCAGGGGTGCAAACCGCATTGATTTCCAATGCCCAACACCACGCCAGGTTTCTCCCGAACAAATAAGTTTATAATTATTAAGAGACATTTCCTGTTAGCACAACGATAATATAATATCTCTCCTTTTAATATGCTGTTCCTTGGGTCGAATTAATGTTCTGCTATTTACGTAATAGCATGACTTATGTTGAATTTGTATCTAAGTTGTGTTCAATATTTATTTCATTGTAGGTAGATGTTGTTTGGATGTTGTTTGTCAATCAAATGTTCATTGTGTACATATGTATATGTGTAAGCATGTGTACATGTATGTATGTTTATATGTATCTGTATTCATTTATTATGTATGTACTCTAATATTTATTATGGGTTATCTATGTGCGTGTGTACAGTGAGTAAGTGTATGTGCGTATGTAACTCCATATAATTATTATTGTTTTTTTGTTGTTTTTGTTGTTATTTATGTTTGTACGTACTAACATTCTCGCATATGTGCATACGTCTGCTTGACTGCTATAATTAATTTGTTATAATGTATGAACGTATTGTAAGCACGTGTGTATTTGTATCTATGTGCATGTGTGCCTTTATATATTTATATGTATGTGTATACATATATTTTATATTATGTATTTATTTATGTATTTTCTATCTATGTGTATGTAAGTGAATATGTCTAGGTCTATTTGTATTCTTATATGTATGTAATCCATTGAATCCCTTTATTCCCGATGCTTTTGTGTTATTGATGTCATTTTTATTTTAGTTCTGTTATTGTTGTCTACTTTTACATCATTTGCTGATTTTAGCATAACCATTTCTTATATGTAATGGAACACGGGCCTCTCTGTAAATTTCTTGATAGAATGTTTAGTGGTAGGCTTTCGTTTGCATGACGATAGTGAAACTAATTTGACAAAGTTCGACCGTTATACCACGAAAGGCCTTATGCCTCCTCTAGCTCTTAATGCATAAACGGTGGACAACATTTGATCCGGTTCTTGATTTAAGAATACTGTGTACTAATAGACGTTCTCGTTATATTAGAGCTTGATTGCCACACTCGCGTCCTATATGATTTGATTTATCTTTTTAGAAATGGATACAATTTCCACAAAGTAATGTAGGACAAAATGAGCACGGAAATGATATGCTTCAGCTGTTGTCCACTGTAGGCCTTATACCTACTCCAGCTCTTAATGCATGAAGGTTCGACAACATCTTTTGAATTTAAAAGAGGAGAAAAAAGGAGGCGCCTATTTGCAGATCACCTTACTCGTTAGTCAATTCTGTCAATTCCGTGCTGTACGGGCTAAAAGACTAAGTGCAAATTGCTAAATCTCGAGGCTATGTATGTACAAAAATTTTTGTATATGTGAAAAGAACAGAACATCTAGTATTTGAGTTATAATGATGATCTTCCACTGGTCATGGCGGAAACTCAGGATTCCTCCCGCCCATGGTTGACTTTCAGCGCGCTAAAATGCCTTACGTGTTGTCTCAGCAGTATAAAAAGCGCCTAAGCTCGAGTCAACTCAAATCATCATGTCTTCTACCGACCCAGCTGCTGCCATGCGTTCGAATTTGGATGGCGACCACCAGCTCATGTTTTATGCGCTATGTCTGTATCAACATCTTGACACTTCTTGCCTGTCATACCTGTAACGGAACAGGTAATACGACTGTGTGTGACCGCGTTTAACTTCGATAATCTGATCATGTCGCCAACTCTGGAACTAGAAGATTCCAGAACGTTGCACATCTTGTTCAACATGCTCGTACTGTTTCTCCTCTGATCTTTAGTATAATCCGATCAAATGGGATAAAAAACGAAATATTTCTTCAATCAAACTTGTGCAAAACGTGCTCAAATTTCCTAATATCGGAATGGATGGTAGAAGATAGATAAAGAGATAGATACAAGGTGGATACAAGCGGGGAATCTAATGGCCAAAGTGAGAATAGAAGGTAAACATGGATGAATTGACATCATGGGTTTACACGCTGTTAACTTTTGGCTCAAATGCAGTCTCCTCTGCTTGCGGCGCGCACGCCGCCTCATCCTCTGTGTACGCGCGACCGATCGTGGTTGGTATGCCCTATATGTTCTGCCTCATTACATCAAAGTAACCGTTCAAGCATGTCAATTATTGACTTGAATTTTCAACCGAACGCTAGTCGAGTTAGTGTCTTACTTACAAGGGCAGACATCTAACTAACAAGGGAACCGTGTAAAGTCGAAGTGGCCTTTCCAGATGAGACCCATACTGCGAAGAGCATTAATCGGTGATTCCAAATCTGCTTTCCAAATCTGCCAAGCGCCTCTGGACGCCGAGTTATGCTCGTTTTTCAGGTCAAAAAATTGAATGCAAAACTGAAGCAAAATCGCCCAAATTTGCTCAAATGGTCCAGTGTCAAGTATCAGATCTGTTTATGCAATGGATACATTTTATTCAAAATGCTAATACTTGACATTGCTTTATCTGAGCCCGGAAAGATTGTAACAATCAATTTTACCTAAATTCTGCATTCATTTTCCGTTCCAAAAGGTCATAACTCGGCGTCCAGAGGAGCTTGGCAGATTTGAAAGGCAGATTTGGAATCACCGCTTATACCCTTCGCAGTATGGATCTCATCTGCAAATGCCACTTCGACTCGACACGGTTCCCTTGTAAATTCGGCTTTTCGGAAAGGGACATATTACATGGCGCGCTAAAGTTTGTATTCGCTCCCAAAAAGTCTTCCGAGAAGATTTGGGCACAATTTTTGCTGAGCTGGCTGACTTACAAGCGGAAAGTTCAGTCGAAGTAGCCTGTTCAGATTTGATGTATACCATAATGAAGGGCATAAAATGCTAATTCCAAATCTGCCTTCCTTATCTAGCTTTTATAAATGACGAATTATGAGCGCTTATTGGAGCAGAAAATTGGATGCGCAAATAGGATAGAAATGAATATTTTTTCTAGCCTTTCAATGGAGCAGTGATAATCATCACAGCATTAAAAAATACCGAATAAGAAAATTCATCACACCTGGTTATTATTCGAGGGCTGGTAAAAATTCAACAATTCAGTTTATCCAGAATGCACATTTAATTTTTCGCTCCAAAAAACGCTCATAATTCCTCGTCCATAAACGCTTTGCAGATAAAAACGTTTGAATAGCGTTTTATGCCCTTCAATATGGTATACATAGCATTGAAAAGGCCACTTTGACTAAACAAGCTTTCCTTGTCAGATGTACAGTATAATAAAACCTATCTCTCTCCATTATGTAGATTGAAGGTAGAAACTACCGGCAAATGGTGCTACTGTAAAAAGGGTGCCGTTTCAGATAATCTCAAAAACTCCGATATCAGCTGTCTGATGATTCTCCTAGGCAACGTATTAGCAAAATGTTGAATTTTGCACTTTTGAGCTGTGTAACCTACACTGTAGTGTAATTACCTCAAAATAGCAAACATACTCACAGTAAGACGTCTGGAAGAGAAATGGTCGGCAAAATGGTGTGCCAGTAGAAGCTGAAAGTCCAAGCATTCCGTCTGTGTGCTAGAAGCAGGACATCAACGTCTTTTCTCAGACTTTCGGTACTAAGACCAAGACTTGTACCAGATCTTCAAAATTTTCCATTTTTTTAGCCATTCCAAACGTGCAGTTATAACAAAGACGAATCCGGCCCTATAATAACATATACATTCAGAAATCTTTTGCTTCCATCTTGTTTGGAAATCTTCAGAAAAAATATTAGAATTTGGACAACGTCATTGACGCATTGAATTTTTAGACGCATAGAACGATAGATTCGGCTGCACTTTCAGCACTGCATGCTGAGATGGCATTGTGAATGATTACTTTGTACAGAGATTGCCTACCTTTATTTCGTCGTTTCCTAGTATACCACGTACTGTCCCAATCCAGTATTTATGTTCCCACTTTGTTCCGTCCGGTTTGAAAGAAGAAGACAAGGATGGGTCAAATTTATGTCTACGTCCACAGCTCCTAAATTCTGTAGTAATAAAAATGCGCTTTTTGTATGGAAAACTTTTCAAACCAATATAAAACTAGATTATCAATCCCTTTTTCTTTTCCTCACAAAGAAATCGTTTTTGAAGTGTTTGAGAATAAACATACTTCGCGTCACTATCCGATTACGCATGCAGTATGTGTGCGTTATTCATGTATATGTCTACAGTTACAGGATGTTTTTTGAAGTGTTTGAGAATAAACATACTTCGCGTCACTATCCGATTACGCATGCAGTATGTGTGCGTTATTCATGTATATGTCTACAGTTACAGGATGTGCGAGATATTCCATTTTAATTTATTTTCAAAACACTCATGGTTCACCATGAATGATTGAAATGATGTTTGATTGCACAAAGAACTCATGAATAAAAGGGAAATCAGCCAGACTAAAATGCAATGATTCTAATTTGATAGGAGAATAAAGAAAGGCAAAGAGCCTTAGACCCAATATTGTATATAAGATTGAAAATGCCCGTGATTTAACGAAAAAAAACTGCAAGTCAGGCCTTCAACTTACTATCAATAAGGGCTCTGAAATCTTTAATAGATGTCTTAATGGCCAAAGCTAGGCCGCAGTGTTCATAAACTTTTCGTTCTGTGCTAACATGAAGCACGACAATTTGCAACATTGACAGAGATATCCCATCTAGCGCACCACCGAATCATGGCATCAAAGAAACGATGTAAGACTCCTTCCCCACACGCTGGTATTCTTATTATTGCTTGTACCGAAAGTTTTAATGTCATCAGCGTACATTGGCACATGAACATCAGATAACCTCGAGTCATTTGTAACTTAGTATGTGAAACTGCACACTATGCCCTATTAACGACGTCATCCATACTAGTAACTTTCCGGTAAAACATTTTCTAGCCTAACAAATTGCAGAATTATGTTCTACCTACTGACATATAACCAACAAAAAGAGAAGAAACAAGGAAACAATGAGCAATCATTGGAAATGAGCAGGTTCTAGTTTTGAAGCTCGTCAGTTGGCATGCATAGTGTGCACTACGTATATTAAGTTACAAATGACTCGACGATATGTCTTTGAAATTCTGGGTAGTCCTGTAGCCGTAATCACCAACGAACTCAGTGGGTTCCGGAACCCATTGGGTAGGCTTAACCCACGAGATCGGTATTCACGAAGCTAATGGGTTCGAGGACCCAGCAATGCTTTTTGTGCATATCGATCCAACCCAGTGGCGCTGTTTTCGCTTACCCACTAGGTAGCGGAACCCATGGGTTCGTTGATGAATACGGCCACTGCAGTGTAGATGATAAAAAGAAATGGTGAGAGTGGAGTGCTCCTCCCTGAGGAAGCCCGCTAGGAAATGGAAGGAAGGAGGGTCAGAATTTGCCTTACCAATTCGGACTTATGTAGATCTTCTTCCTTGTTCGTTCATGTTTTGGAGGCTGCACTACCCTAATATTGTAGCACAATGAGTAGCAGCACTTTGCTGCATGAGCTGAGATAATTCGTCACTTTCAAAGTTATCCGCAAAAAACTGATGAAAACGTCACAGAGTTTCGCTGTCGATTTACTACGACAGTGCTACGAATGTTTGTGAAAGAAATAAGTGAAAAATCAAATTAAAATTATCTTTGATGAACCTGTGCTGGCGAGTTGGGTTTTATCGAAAAAATCAAGACTTGCACATTTCATCTGTGCTACAAAAAACATGCGTAGCACTGTCGTAATAGACAGCAAAACTCTGCGACGTTTTTACTGGGTTTTTTCGGATATAAATACCTTTGAAAATTAGCGTGATCAGTGGGAGATCTCGTTCGGGGTCACACAAATAACGAATTATCTCAGCTTACACAGCAAAGTGCTGCTATGCGTTGTGCTACAATATTAAAATAGTAGAGCCTCCAAAATATGAGCGACAAACAAGGACACAGATCCTCAGAGCACATGAAGCGGGAAGCTACCTTTCCGGGTAACTTACCCGGACCGGCGATTGATGCATACCGTCCCAGGTCCTTTTGAAGCAAAATAGGGCCGTCTGTGGCTCAGAAGTTCCCACCGTCATTCTACAGTATGGAGAGCGACCGGATTACGATTTATATTGTTGATCTAAGTTAAAGTACAAAACGACCTAGCACTTTTGGTAGACATCATGCCAATAGAGTCATGATTGATCAAACAGTAGGCACACTTTTGTGGGACGCCCTGTATATAATGGGTATATATTAGGTGGGTCCGGAAGTTTTGTCAGTTTTTTCAATCCATCGGCAAACAGGCTCGAATGAAGACAAACAAACGCTCCAAAATGTATCCGATGTACAATTTCTTCCTCTTTCCAGCTGCTAAACTCCCATACTGTTGCAAAAGTGACGAGATATTTGCTGGAAATTACAACCACTCGCTTTTACCATGTCTAAATTTCGCTAATTTTCAAAATTTTGGTATGAGACTTTCAGAGGAGCCCTAATGACTAATAGATAGGGCAAACCTTTTGCCAACAGAAGCAATTTGTTTCTTTTTTCCGGGTGCTTTTTCAGATTTTTGCTAAATAATTTTTCAAAAGTCTTATATTTTAGAAAAATCGCTTTTATTGCTGTTGATAGTGAAATGATCACAAAAACAGTCTCATTCTATATCGCATTCTCATTGATTGGTGAGTAACACTAGTAACACGAGTAACACCAGCAACACCAGTAACACTAGTAACCCCAGTAACACTGGTAACACGAGTAAAACGAGAAACACGAGTAAAACTAGTAACACAGGTATTACTAGTAATATCGGTAAACTCTGACGGATCCCTAAAGTTGAAATCTCGCGAGTCAGGAAACTTTATCGGTGAGCACATTGTTAACATCCGCATAGCGGTATAGCTCTCTCATAAAGCCGGCAGACTATGAAGCTATTGAAACATCCTGCCAATGATGCCAGTATATTTCAATCACTTATAATCATGGTATAAGCGACAGCAAGGTCAAAACGGTAGTAGGTGCGATTGTTGCAGTGAGGTTTTTCCTCAACGAGACACAACGTAGATGTCATCTACGAACACAACGATAGCTTTTACTTGAACTACCCTATCTTCTTTTGACCACCCTAATTCAAAGTCTCAATTGACAATCATAATTTAGAGTCGTTGTAATAGATTCTCATGATCTGTGCTTTGTTGACTACTGCTTACTCACGTCTACTCACCACAGCTTTATTTGAGCGAGTTTGATTGAGTGCTACAGGTCCGTTCTAAGCATGGGTCCCAAATTTTGCCTTTGATCCTTGCCTAGAACACTCGCAACCTCGCCAACCTTTCTCTTATCAGGGTGTCCCAAATGTCTATATACAATGTTTGATCGTTAATATCGCTCTTTCCTAGAAGCCTTCTTTGCCTACCTTTAAGTGCCACTTGATAGAGCTGGCTTCAACTTAGATTTACATTGTGGAGCGAATCATTGATCGCTCTTGATTAGAATTACAGTGGAAATTCAAGAAAGTTATTGAGCCAGTAAGGGCCCTACTCCGCCTTAGAAAGCAAACCAAACAACCTGGAAACTCTTACTCTCTAATTCGAGTCGCTAAAACCACATACAAATTTTGCATTTTACCGCGATGGTCCTTCCATAACTTATGCCAGGTAAACCGAAATAGCTGTTTTTACGATGCTTGCCAAATTTGTGATTATACCACTTGAAAAAAAGCTAGAAACGCCCAAAAGTTGAGGAATGAAATCAGTACCCGTAAAATCCCCGATACACCACTTTTCAGAACGTTTTGAAACTTTGTTTAAACGCGGTTAATCAAAAATGCCATTTTAGGCCAAAACTTCCTACCACGATCTTACAATAATGTATAGGGATTGGTGTTTCACTCTACACTACAAATCTAAGTTGATGGTAGCCTACAAAAAGGTACCTAAAGCTTCCCCATAGTTTCATGACAAGAGAGATTATAACGATCAAACAGTATATACATATTTTGGAACAAGTTGTATAAGTTAGCCAAAGCCCTACTTCTGCTGCATTGAAATTTTGGTCTAAAATACTCTACCGAAATCACAATCTTAAGTCTTGAACCTTCATTATAGTTCACGGTAAATATAGCGCGACTGTTGCAGCTGCAGAATGAGAAAAGGCAAAGCTGCTCTTCTGTATAGAATTGATTTATTCAAAATGGCAATGATCCAAAAACACCGAGCAAGAGAGAATCGTTATTCTTGCATACACAGCGTGTAAGGGACTGTTGTTTCTAAAAATAAGCATGTAAACTGGTGAGTCCGATTTCCACCTTGCCAGCAATTGCCTCGGCCCTATCGATTTTAGAAGTAGAGTGACTTTCGGTTCTGGCATACCATTCTTCACGCAGGCTGGCTTCATTTCCTATTTTCGTCCACAGGCCGTGTAGCGGCAACAGCCCCACGCAGTGCAAACGCTCTATGATACTTGCGCGTTAGCCTCTCGGCCAAAAGTCAACGAGTTAAGCTTCTTTCTGCTTCTCTGCGTGCCTCTCATTTTTTTCCTTGGTGAGTAAGAGCTACGACCGTTAGTCATAGTCTACTGTAGTGAGAAGGCCGGTAGTGTAGTTGCAGCGCAGAACTCTGTTAGACTTGTCAGAAAAGGTACTTACCTGCAGTCTATGCTTGGTACCCAAAACATAGAATTGCGCAAGGTAACCATTACAGTAAACTCTTGATCACCTCCTATGCTGATTGTTTGCGCGTATCCATTAGGTACAGATAACAGCTGTAATAGGTGTATTAATTATCAGTTAGAAATCCTGAAACTTTTTAATATGTCACTTTGGAGTCTTGTATGGAATATGCTCGAACACCAACAATTTATACAGGGTTGGGGGAAAGTCTTTGAACACGGTATCTTTATCGTAATGACGAAGCTAGGCAAGGTGATTACATGAAATCAATAGATAATGTTTACTCAACTGTCTGCTACATAAAATTGTCTTTACAATTCGAAGATTCCTTCTTTGCCGCGAAAACAAGCACGGAATCACTTGAGAACGCCGTCCTTGGTGGCACGGAGGGGGTGGCGGTCAAGAATAACGATAGCTCTGCCAGCCGTTAGCTGCCAGCTGCTCGCGCGCGCAGAACAGCCCGCCCTAACTCGTTCATGAAGTTGAGAGAAATTATTCAAACTTCAGTCCTCTTCAATGAAGTTCGATTTCTACAACGACCAAAGAAGCTTACGTATTTCACATGCTAAATTGAGCCCAAAACTCTATCGCGTGTTTACGGCGATGTGATTGCTGATTATTTCCATCTTCAAAAAATGGCAGAAGCCTTAACATAAAGCATTTTTTGAAGAAGACAAAGTTTTGGACATTTACTGCTACAAAATGCAGGGCCTGCTTGAGTTCGTCCGCTGCTGTGGCGGTGCTACATTGCACCGTTTGTTGACACCCGGGCACTCAGGGTGCCACTATTGCCAGCTATCGTTATTCTTGACATATACCCGCACGGAGGTGCTCCACGTCGACTTCCTCCCACGCATCCTGAAGAGCACGTCGCAGAGACTCCACAGTCTTGCGTGAGTGAGCGGCTTCAGCCTAAAGAACTGACCATTTGCGGTAATCAAGGGTATTCAGATCCGGCCAGTACGGAGGCCATTCCACAGGAGTAATGAACTCCTTAACGTTGCTTTGGAGCCCTGCTTGAACAACCTTCACTTAGTGCGCAGGTGCGCTATCCTGCTGTGAGCACTAATTGCTCCCAGCAAATGGAATATTGGTCCAGGCCAACAATTCCTTCTTCAGGATGCTGTTCACATGCGTGGCAATATCCACCTTGAGCACTGAGACCTCAAAAATTAGCGGCATTTTGCTGTCGGAAGCGATCGCCGCGCAAATTGTCACACAAACCGGATGAAGTTTTCCTTCTGCAATCAATCCTTGCTATTGGCTTCCTGAGGCGCTTAGGTGATGACTCTGTTGTTTTGGCGATCAGAAACCTGCTTCACGGTGAAAATTTCGACGTCAGAAAATTGTATGTTTGGTGGCGTGCCTTGGATAGGCGTTCAGGTATTCGATGGCATCCGCACAGCCAAATCAGCTTCGTTTCTTCCCAAAAAGCATGAATCATAAGTATCTTGAAAAGCTTCATCCCAAAGCCTTGTTTCACGATGTCGGAGACTTTTTTACCAGAGATGAACAGCTTTGAACCCAGCTCAGTCAAGCTTTTCCGAGGATTGCGAGTATGGCGCTGGCGAACGATCTTCAGAGTTTTGTGAGTATCTGCAGTAGCCAATTTATCACCCGTACAGCAGTTACGGGTGCTGTTCATATCCTGGAAACGACGCAAGGCGGAAAAGACGCTGATTTGTAAAGTTTGAAGAACCCGCGCAATCTGCTGGTTAGCCATCCTCTCTTCGTGCATCTTCGCCACCAGCGCTCGCTCCGTTCCAGAAGGCATATCCTCGACAGAAATAAAGCTAATATTCCAGTTTTTGGAGGACTTGCAACTAAGGGTATAGGAAGCAAATACATATAATTAGTATGCAAGAATATGTGGAAAATCAGGACATACAATGACATCAAAAATTGTTCAAAGACTTTACCCCAACCCTGTACAATGTTTCCATGCAATAGGATGGATGAAGTAGAAAAGAAAAGAATGCCGCTGTTTACTCTACCATGGTAGGGTAATTATCTCGCCTCCCCGGTGTGCGTTGGGCGGAGCATTTGCGGACATCTAAATGTTTGATGAACTTGTTAACCCTCTAATGCAAGGCATTGTTTTTTGCAAGTTGCTATCAAAAATGCCACGTGTGACAGCAGCATATATACGTGGCAGTTTTAGGAGAACCATGCTTTGCAGAAGAGCTTTGACAAATTCACCAACGTGTTTAATGTCTGCAAATGCCCCGCTGAACGTGCGCCGAGAGTCGACGATACCAAAAGTGAACTGAGGAAATTATTTGATTAGGCAAAGCCAGCTTTACAACCATTAAACATCCATGGATCATGATTAAACCAAAGTTTGAGATAATTCTAGAATTTCAAGGTCTAAAAATCGAATCTCTGCCGAAACTTTACAAAGCTCCTATTGAGTAAACACGTAAGCCCTAGTATACCCGCTTTCAAATCAGATGAAGCCCTAAAGCCTTAATTTACATTCGTCAGTTGAAATGACGACTATCCTTCTATGCTCTAAAGAGGCCACCTATACCGGCAGGTGACCGGATTGTCAACTGCCGCAGCGACTTTGTCGCGCTGCCGTAAGAGGATGGATTAAAAGGTGCCGTAGATCGTGTGCTAAGGGTGGAGAATAAAACACGAATTGCTCGTCAGTAACTTACGAGACACGGCAGTTACGTTCTTTTGCAGTGCAAAACCAGCAAAACTGCACATTTTCGGAGGCAAAAATGGGAGGGGATCGTTGAGCGGGGTTGCGGCGAGGAATTGGAAGAAAGATCTTCATGTAATTTATTGCAGATGATGCGCTTTCTCAGAAGCGCATGTAAAAAATGTGTTTTATCCTTTGACTCATTTTTTGCTAATCGTAATTTTCCATCGTATGCATGCCAAAATATCGTAATTTTGTTTCATCGTTTGCTTGACAATACTAGCGGCCCAATAGCTAGCAGGTGTGAGAAATGTTGTATTGAGTCATTAAAGCCTCGTATAACACTTTTTCAATGCCGTAAAAGCTAATAAACTTGATTTAGTGATGTTTTGATTGAAAAGTTCTGCTGGGAAGGCATGGTGCGCATGGTAGTTCTAATGACGAAAGTACGACTGCTTGCAGAAGAACGTTTGGAGTCAAGAAAGATGTCGTGTTTAGTAAAGCTCATTCTCCAAAACTGAAATGCACACCTTACAGCTCGCGCTTTTTCTCTAGACTCACCCTCGCATTAGAGAAACGAGTAATATTCATCTTCTCGTACAGCATCCTTCCCGTAGCTCTCCTTTCTGTGGCTTTTCTTAGCTGATATATCGTACGTTCTTTTCGGTGTAAAAGTTTCTCAAAGCATTAGCAGCTTTTTCCGTCAAAGCATTAGAGAAGGGTGAGGACGATTCGCGTCCATTCTGCTTTCCACCAGGACCACTGCCGCGCGCGGAACACCCTGCGGCGGCTTTTGCCTAAGCAAAGCAGGCGGAAGAAAGATTTGCGGCGTGCTGACGTGTTAAGACAAGTCAAAATTAAGATAGCGCTGGAGACCGCCCATGCGAAAAGACTGTCTTCCACAAGAGCTAATTTCCTCATCACTCTAGCCTTAAAATATCAGTTCACCTTTCCCAGTTTCTTAGCCAAAATGCACTAAGCTTTTCCCTCTAAAAATCCACAGTGAAGTTGTCCACTCTTTCTTCGTTATTCAAGGAACTGTCCCTCTGCAAAACCCCCATTTTTTAAAAAGCTTACTGAAGAAAGCTACAGTATCCTCCTCTCCTGCAAACTGCCAGCCCCGCAGGTCAAACTCTACAAAAAAATCGATAAAATCGATAAAAGTAATGGATGATGTTGAAAACCAATATTGTATTCGGAATCCCTATGCTTGATTGCCCCCTGCGCCAACTCCCAGCCGCGTAGGTGAACTCAGCAAAAAAATCGATAAATCGATAAAATCGATATCGATCGATGACGAAAAGTAGCCTATGACACCCGCCGGGGCCCGAAGTGTTTGTTTGCCAAGTTTGGTCCGGATCGGTTCAGAAATGGAATTTTCTATTCGGAACATACGTACACACAGACAGACAGACAGACAGACATACAAACAGACATTCAGCTTTATACAGGGTGTCCCAAAAAAATGTGCCTACTGTTTGACTGTAAATAACTCTCTTGTAACGAAGTGTTTCGAGAAGCTTTAGGTACCATTATGTAGAGCGAGGTTTAACTTAGTTTTGCAATATAGGGCAAATCATCGATCGCTCTTCATTACTGTAGGATTACAGTAAGAATTTCCAGCATATGGACCACCGTGAAATATACTACCTAACAAAATTTTTTCCAAAAAATCCGAAAAATTGTGTATTAGGGATTTCGCGCATGCTGATTCCACCTGACAACTTTTTACGAGTGTTTCCAGCGTTTTTGACGGTATAATTACATTTTTGACAAATGCTGGGAACTGAGTTATTACGATTTACCGGGGATAACTTAGGAAAGAAGCATCACAATAAAATGGGAATTTCAAATTAGAAATCAGAGGCTTCCACTACCTTAGTATAAGAGTTTTTATTTTGTTTGGTTTTTTACCGAGGCAGAATATAGCCTCCAAAGGCCTAAAATCCTTGTCGAAATTCTTACCGTAATCCTACAGTAGTGAAAGGTGATAGATGATTCGCTCCATACTATGAATCTAAGTTTAACCTCGCTCTACATAACGATACCTAAAGCTTCTCGAAACACTTCATTACAAGAGAGTTATTTACAATCAAACAGTAGGCACATTTTTTTGGGACACCCTGTATATAAGATAGGATCTGTGGAGAAATCAGCTGTTTTTTGGATTCAGCGTTAGTGGCAAAAAGGAGTCCCTGAGCGGGGAATCGAACCCGAGTCTGGCGGTTGAGAGTCGCACCCCATAGCCACTAAACCATGGGGACTACATTGGATCTGCAGCTTATGCGCGTCAATTGCCTTTTTTTTCATCAAACACAAGAGGGAATGGGGTACGGTATCCGGGCTCACGCAACGAATTTAAAGGCCGGTGCAAAAAGTGCTAATCAATACGTTGCTATTTTTCTGTTATAAAATGATATCTGATAGCGGACATTATCGATTTTT